TTTACGGTAGGAAATTTACAAAATATCTTCATGGAACATGATCTTTACTTAATATCCTAATGATTTTTGGCATAAAATATTTTTTTTTTGGCTATTGCTATAAATATACCCCAGCGACTTAAGACTGGTTTTGTGCTCCAGGGTCACATATATATATACTGTATATATAATTTATATAAACTAATTATTCTAAAAAAAAAATCAACCAATCAAAAAAAGAAAACTTTATTTTCTTCTATGACATAACCATAACTTGCTAACAAGGTGCTAAATAAAAACTAGAGTTTACTGTATGTGTTTGACAAACTGCTCAGCCGCTGTAGCCCTTATTCTTGCTTCTCTGTGTCTGAGAGTTCAGATTTCTGGTAAGACTGTTTGATTGAGTCTAAATGCTCTTTTAGTGCATGTTTTTCACACTTAAGTGAATAAATGTCTTGTTTTTAAGACTAATTACAAATGACAGGAGATATCAACCCTTTTTCCTCTTAAAATTCACCTATAACCCCCTTCAGGTTGTCCGGTGGTCCCCAGTCACAGGAAACCCATCAAGTGGTCATATCAGAACCAGACCCTGAAACAGAGTCCAGGCGTGAGCTACCGCATGCTGGTGGGGGGAAGAGTTCTGGAGATGAACACGCACGGAGGGAAGTTTGACGGACGCTACGAGTGCCAAACACAAACCAACAACCAGCAGCGTCTCACGGCTTGGATTCACGTGCTTTCACAAGGTTAGTGTGAATAAAAACAATATGGGTGAATAAATTCTTAAAGCTCTCTTTAGTATGTTATTGTTATTTGTGATTGGTTTTGTTGTATGTGTAATTTGACAATATATAAGAAGTGCTAACACATGCTTAAAGTCAGCAGAAAGTGCTAATAAAAAGGTGTGTGAATGATGAATAGCCGTAGTCTTCTGATGAAACTCAACACCCAGAATAGACGGGAAAGTGTTATGTTGAAGGTTTGTACATGAATTGGACTTCAGTTCTGTCTTGTAGAAATCCAAGCGCTCAGAGAGCTCATTTGTGTCTTGTTAAAGCTGCATGTCGTCCTTTGTGTTCCTGCACAATGCCAGGAATTTTAAAAGGCAGAGACGATTGTGTAGATATTCAAGCCCAGATTCCTAGAAACCTTTAAGGCTTGTAAATGGCCTCTATAACCTCTCACTTTGAATCAGGCGATTTGGCAGCCTACTTGAGTAATAATGGGGCTTCTCTGATAGTGCTTCCCTGATGCCATGATATTGATTCATGCTGTACCTGTTTCATCCTTTATAATTGAAATTCACAGGCTTTATGTCTGGACATACAGCATATACAGTGTATAGGTACCATATATACTGTTTTAATATATCTTAAAATGTAATTTATTTCTGTGATGCAAAGCTGAATTTTCAGCATCATTACTCCAGTCGTCAGTGTCACATGATCCTTCAGAAATCATTCTAACATGCTGATTTGCTGCTCAAGAAACATTTATTATTATTATCATCAGTGTTGAAAACAGTGGTGCTGCTTCATATTTAGGTGGAGACAGTGATACTTTTTTTCAGGATTCTTTGATAAATAGAAAGTCCAAAAGAATAGTATTTATTTTGAAATAGAACTCTTTTGAAACATTTTAAAAGTCTTTCACTTTTGATCAGTTTAAATAGTCTAGAATTTTATTATTGATGATCAATAGATGGTCTATATTCAAATTCTATAGTATTCTGTACTATTTATATACAATTTTGGCTAAATAAATGAAAAATAAAATGGTAAATATCATCTAAAATCTTTTTTAAAAGTCTGTTTTAAATTATACAAAAACTACATAACAAAAAAAACATTTTTTGCTTATTTGTATCACCAAGAATTTTAATATCATCTAGGGCTGCCACTAATGACTATTTTTATTTCGATTAATCTATTGACTCATTTATCGATTAATCAATTAATCTTACCGATTAATTTCCCACAAAAAATCAACAATTTCACTTAATATTTTATTCAACTATATTTTATTAAACCAAATTAAATCCAAATTTCTATGAAATCCTTTTTTTAAAGCAAAAGTAAAGTGCAACAGAGTGCAAGAAGCAAGTGTCCATCTCATAATCCAAATCACTGAAAACAAAGTTCAGTATTATTGTGTAAGAATGACAACATATCCACATGTTCTAGTCTACTAATAATAAAATTATAATCAAAAAACACTTTTTAAAAGGAGTATTTACCAGAAATATTATTTACCAGAATTTATTTAGGAGAAAATGTAAATATGCAGTATTTCTGAAAAAATAAATAAATAAATAAAATCAATTAATTGGAGATGCTTCCTATAATTATAATAATTTTTGCTTAATTATGATTTTTAAAAGGGTTTCATATATCATGCAGCCTTGGGAAACAGTCTAATAATGTGTTTTAAGGATTCTCGTCCGTGAAATGCACCACTTCCTGTATTTTGCCAGTTAGTCGACGCGAGCAAAATTAAGTCGAGGATTTAAAAAAATCGAATAGTCGAATAAAATCGACGAATCGCGACAGCCCTAATATCATCCCTAACTGTATGTGTATTTCTCTTTGTGTCTTTTTCGGGGTGTAGAGTTTGAGTGGCGTTTGGGTGAGTGGAGCACATGCAGCGCTTCCTGTGGCAACAGAGGGACTCAGATGAGGAAAGTACGATGTCTGACGTCAGAGGGCCAAGAGATGCCTCATTCAGTCTGTCATCATCTTCCCAAACCGATCAGTCAACCACGGCCGTGCAACCTGCTAGACTGCCCTCCCAGGTACACTTCCCTAAGCAAATAATAAAATACTTATAGAAATAGCTCCCCCAAAAATGACGAAAATGTACTCACCCTCACGCCATCCAAGGTATAGATGAGTTTGTTTCTTCATAGGAACAGATTTTGAGAAATGTAGCATTGCATCACTTGCTCACCAATGGATCCTCTGTAGTGAATGGGTGCCGTCAGAATGAGAGTCCAAACAGCTGATAAAAACATCGCAATAATCCACAAGAAATCATTTCTGGCCAACCTGTTGTCCTCTGACATCTAAATCCACCAACATATTTGTTTAGAACTATTTTGACTTTAAACGGTGCTTGATCTGTGCACCGTCTGATTCAGACGAGACGACTTTTTCACTGGAAAAAAAGCAATATTATGAATAAAGGACTCTAATCTGATGGATTCTTACAAATAAGCAGATTTTCACTTCACAAGACATTAACTGATGGACTGGAGTGGTGTGGATTACTTGTGAATTATTGTGATGTTTTTATCAGCTGTTTGGACTCTCATTCTGACGGCACCCATTCACTGCAGAGGATCCATTGGTGAGCAAGTGATGCTAAAGTAATGCTATATTTCTCCAAATCTGTTCCGATGAAGATACAAAGATGGCCTGAGAGTGAATACATTTTCAGCAAATTTTCATTTTGGGGGTGGACTATTCCTTTAATAATATGCAGCATATGTCATGACACAGTCAGCATATTAGTAGAGAAGAACGGTTTCAAACAGAGTTCATTTTCTGTAGGATTACTTTAATTCTCTGACCGTTAGCGATTCAGAAGTCAGACACAGTGTCAGTCGCTCTATCTTTGATAAATGAGCGTCTGCTGACGGATCTCTCTATAGACTTTAATATAGAGAGAGCGGAACCCTTCACAAGTCTGCGAGCCGTGATGAATTTGACTGCGAGCAGCATCCCGGTCCTCTGATTCCCAGCCAAAGTGCCTCTCTCCATCAAACAGCCCATCTATCATTCCCTTCCCAGCATCAGTCTTTTCAGGGGCCGTGCAGACGCTCAACCAAGCACAGGAATCAAACTGTATGAGTCCAATGGGGCCGGAGAAGAGCAGATATCAGCTGTCAGTGTAAAAAGAGCTTCTTTTTGTCAGTGCTCTGGTCTGGCAGGAGAAATCCCTGTGGGTTTTTACCAGTTCAACACGATGCAGAGAAATCAGAACATTTAGAATAAGAAAGTATTGTGAAAATCACCAGGGACAGAAATGAACTTTTCCGGTAAAATTCTGGCAAAAAAATATTTACATACTGGATTGGTTTCCAGGAATTTTAAAGGCAATTTTCATAATTACTTTTATTAAATGTATCAGTGTTTGACTTTTAATGTCTATATATATAAACAAAATTTTAAAAGAAAAAAAAGTCATTTTTTTTAGTGAACTGAATGATATTAGCACATACTGTTCTCTCTCTCTTTCATATGAAAGTAAGCAGGAGTTTTTTTGCAGAGAAAAATATTCCAGCTTGAATCATTAGCATAGTCCACGTTTCGTATCGTGAGCTGATTGATTGAAGGTTTCAGGGTTTCTCGGAGAACACAGGATAGATAGTGCACACGACTTCTATACGTCCATGCCAAAAACATCATCTGATCATTGCCATGCGTCTGGACTCAGCGCATGAATCATATGGCTCTGTGAAAGCGCTTAGCGTCAGTTCAGAGCCGTCAGCGGGAGATCCTCTCACAAAGCGTGTCTTTGTTACTGCTTCTTTCGCTCTAACACAGCCCTAAATGCCCCGCAGAGGCTCCCAGCTCCCCAGTGACTCAGGTACAAGCTGTGCTTTTTCAAAAACCAAATATATCCAGCTGTATGTATCCACTGTTGAAATGTGTGGAGATGTATATTCTTGTCGGTTTGGAATGGCACGTGTCCAGAGTTATCTAGAAGTTTGAGGTTCGTTAGCATGTGTTTAACTGTGAGAGTGCAACGGAAATTGGTAATATGCAGCTAGATAAAAGTCAAATCTATGATAGGATGCTACAGGTGTGAAGATAAATCATGTCCTGTAATAATTCAAATGACATTAATGGTGATTTTTTTTTTTTTTATCCATAAGGTTGTTTACAGCTAAAGTGTGTAATTTCTACAGCACTAAATTGAATTTTAATGGCAAAAACAGTGCATTGTAATATTTTTTTTTGAACTGATTTTGAAGCACTTCTGACTTTGAACTGTTCTTTCTGTAAGTCAGTTGTGATTAATGAGCTTGAAGTAAAGCAGCATTTTGTAACATCTCTTTTTTTAACTCATTATTTGGCTGTACTCCATAAATTGAAAGCATTTATGCATAAAATTGAATCACAAAATGCGAAATACATTTTTATTTTTTGAAATGGATGCTGGTTGAAATTCATGCTTTCATGAAAATTAATGAATTCATGAAATTCATGCTTTTTGATGCATTAAACTTGTCAAAAGTGAAAGAAAACACTTCTACATTGTTACTATATATATATATATATATATATATATATATATAATGTTTTTTTTAAACTTCATATTCAACAAAGAATCCTGAGGAAAACAAAGTATCACTGTTTTCACAAAAATATTAAGCAGCACAACTGTTTTCATCATTGATAATCATAAAAAAAGTTTCTTGAGCAGCACATCAGCATATTAGAATGATTTCTGAAGGATCATGTGACACTGAAGACTGGAGGAATGATGCTGAAAATTCAGCTTTGCATCACAGAAATAAATTACATTTTAAAATATATTCAAATAGAAAACAGTTTATTTAAATTCTAATAACATTTGACTATTTTTACAGTATTTTTTATCAAATAAATGCAGAAAAGCAAGAGACTCATTTCAAAAACATGCCCCCAGCCCCAAACTTTTGCTCTTACTACTACCTGAATACTGTGTAGTTTCTACTGTATACTACAAAGATAACATTAAAAAAGGAGTATGCTACATTATCACATGACCTCATTACGTTGCATATTTATTTTACTGAATAGCATACAGTTATGAACTATGTTTTTTGGCAGGCTGATTAAGAAACAGATGTGAAATTGTGACTTCTGGCTCATCAATTACCCTGGTATTGGAAGGTCAAGGTCAAGATACACTCATACAGTGTGCTGTGTTGCATACTGCACATTTTTTTAAATTATTCGTATTTCATGCATACTGAAAATTTCTGGCTGATTGTGCAGTATTTCATATTTCACTTCATCATTTAAAAGTACTCGCATGAGCTTCTTAAATCATTTGGAAGCTCTTCTAACTGTTTTTCTTGTATATGTCAGTTGGGTGTCGACAGTGTGGTCCAGATGTTCCAGTTCCTGTGGGCGGGGCTTCAGAGAGAGGCGGGTCTCCTGTCAGCAGGTGGAGGCATCGGGGAGCGTGAGGGTTTTGTCCAGCACAGCGTGTGAAGGATCTCCTCGACCTGAAGACAGGGAGGAGTGCAGCTCACACACGTGCGTGGAGTGGCTCACCGGCCCCTGGGGGAAGGTACGTTTACTGCCACTTTTATATTCATTCTAACCTCTTTAATGCAGAAAAATGATCTAGAGTAGTGTATATAACTAATGATAGAACAATATATTAGTTAGGTCGATTAGTCGTTTGATATCTGGCAATCTATTTTTGAGATCATTGGATTAGGCTGGTAGCCAATATAGCAGATATTCTAGATAGTGATGGGATCCAAAGAAAACCCGTATTGGTCAGCAATTATCCATAATTATTTTATATTCTATGGATTTTCTGTTAATCCATTACTCGACCATGCAAAACTATGGGGTTTGTAAGATGCTTTTAATGTTTAAAGTCTCTTCTGCTCACCATGGCTGCATTTAATTTATCAAAAATATTGTAAAAACAGTAATATTGTGAAATATAAATTACTGTTCTATTTGATAGATAACCTATTTTATAGGTTGCTGAATTTTCTTCAGTGTCACATGATCCTTCAGAAATCACTCTAAAATGATTTTTTGCTTCAAAAAAAACACAAAAATTTTTTTTTTTATTATTATCAGTGTTTAAAAATGGTGCTGCTTAATATGTGGAAAACATACATTTTTCAGTATTGTATGAATGTAAAGTTCAAAAGAACAGCATTTATTTGAGTTAGAAATATTTTATAACACTTTAAATATTTGTCACTTATAACTTAACTGATCCTTTGTTCATAAAAGTAATTGCTTTTTTAATTCCAATTTGTCACTATTTGTTATTTGTAAATTATTTGTACTTTTTAAAATTGTATTTGTGGCAGTGGGTCTATTCATTTTAGCTCTCAAAACACCTTGTTATAAACCAGAGCGTCAGTACGAGGAATGTTTGCCCTCGTTCGCCACCTTTAGAGCGTTCATGTTTTATTAGGGAAAATATTAGCGACCTGAGGTCCAAATATATTGGCTTGTTCCGTCTCTCTCGAAGTCCAAGTTATCACAACGTCCCAAGAGAACTCGCTCTCGTTCGTGGGTTTTTCTAAGCTCGGTCATTTCAGGAATCCCGTCTGTCCAAACGTCTGCTTTTTGTTCTTCGCTCTTCTGCGGTGAAACTTAATGAAACTTCATTTTTGTGTCACCTAACTTGTTTCTGGGTGCAGAAATATTTAATAAGACAACACCAATAAATGAACTTATATTGTTTGTATTGTATAGAGTGTGAAGCCTCGGTCACGCTAGACTTTGAGCTCGAAATGTTGCTTCACACCACAGCGAACAGGATATGATATCACCCTCTAAGGATTCTCTTTTTGAGAAAAAATAAATCACTATGCAAATGATAATACATTTAAAAAGTGGAAATATACTGTGGACATCTACTCTGCTTTCCTGCTTTGTTTTCTTTGACTTGAGGTCAATCTGTGACGTTTAGATGGTCTGTTGGTCAAATTTCTTTGTGCTGTGTGAAGTTGCAGGACAGAGTTCAGCAAACTTGAGTTTGCATTTCTGGTTTCCCACGATTCTATTGGAGCAAGTCCCAAAATTTCACAACAATCTTTGTGAAAAATCAATCCAAGATCCAAGGTGGACAAAGCATGAGAAACAGGAGCAGGTGTCTCACATCATAGATGTTACTGTAGGGTGTATGTAACAAGGTTTGTTAGATACGGGAAGGAGGAGGTGGGAACTGGCTCAACATAAACATAAACTTTAATTAAGAACTCAAAAATAAACAAGCTAAATAAACATACAGTGTTCTAGGCCTGGACCTCTCTCATTAGCACTCACAGTTGTTATTTTATTTTATTTATTATTTTATTTTTATGTGCTCTCTGTAGAGTATAAAGTCAATTAAAAAGTGTACATATATTTAACCTATATGAAAATATATTAATAATAATGAATAATAATAAAAGAAATAGTTAATAATAATGTTATTAATGCTATTATTATTATTATTATATTGTAGTTTTGTTGTTGTTGTTAGCCACTTATTATTATTATTATTATTATTTTATAACAAATTATTATTATTATTATTTTATAACAATAACAAATTATTATTATTATTATTTTATAACAAAATACTATTATTATTATTATTATTTTATAACAAAATATTATTATTATTATTATTATTATTATTATTAAACACCAACAAAAGATGTTTATTATTTATCTTTTCATTTTTTAATTAGTTTTTTGTTTAACTAGTTAATTAATTCATTGTTAATTCAGTTCATTGTTTAAAAAAAATTAAATAATAAATGCTATTATTTGCAAACTCATCCACTATTTTCTGTTTATTTGTCTTTGTTTTAATATGTTTAAATTTGCATTTGTTTGCCAATTAACGTGTGGATTGTGCTTTTGAAAAGTAAGATATCTAAAGGTGTAATTGGAATAAGCTTGGTTTTGTTTGGTATCTCTGCAGGTGAGTGTAAGGACCGAACCCACTACTGTCCTGTGGTGAAACGTCTCAAGCTTTGCTCCGTGGACCTGTACCGGCAACGCTGCTGCCAGACCTGCTCACAGGACACCAGCGCCACCTAGTGACCAGCAGAGGCACAAGAGCCCAAAACAACGGATGCCTTTTTCAGTCACCGCACTGATCTCTCTCCTAAAGCAGAATATTGTTCAATCGTACAAACCCTTGGACACCTAGAGTGTATGGACTAAAAGGTATTTGGACTACACTTCACTGGATGCTTTCCCAAAATCATCAGAAGTCCAAAGAGAAAATCACTCTTCACCAGCTTTCTCAGCAGATCTTGTTTTATCTTGCCCTGAAAGTGATATTATATGTGTATTAATTTAAGATTTTTTACTTATGGATATGAGAGGACAAATCTTCTCGGACCATTCACCGATGTGATGGAAATGAAAATAAAAGCATCTTGTGTGTACATGATGTACTGAATTATTATAATTTTTTTTTCATCTTGTGTGTACATGATGTACTGATACTAATAATATCAGTGGTGTACAGCCTGAAGTATTAAGAGAGACATAATTAAATGTTTTTTTTGTTTTTTTTTATCAGAGTCCAACCTTGAAGTCAACATGAAATGCTGTCACAACCCATTCTACTTCTCTAATTTGCTTACTTCAGAGTCAAACAGGATATTCAACGAGAAAAATGTAGAGCGGAGCTTTATTATATGTATTAGGACTTGATTGGCTCATGGAGTCATGTGGTCAGAGGGGAGGAGTTAGAGAAGTAAGAAAGGTTTGTGATTTCAGCCGAAAAGGGAAATCGTTTCAGAGGGGAAGCATGTTTTACAGCATCTTATTTCCACCACGGAATGAGAAAATAAAAATGGTAATTGTGACTTCTCTCCGAGTTCATATCTTACAATATGGACTTTTTATCTCAATTTTGAGTTTATATCTCACAATTCAGACTTTTTTCTTGCAATTCTGATAAGAAAAGTCTAAAATGTGAAATATAAACTCACAAGAAATAAGTCAGAATTGTAAGAAAATAATATTAGAATAATATAAGAAAAAAGGTAATTGCAACTTTTTATCCCACAATTTGGACTTTTTCACAATTGCAAACTTATATCTCAAATTTCAGACTTTTCTTCTTAGAATTGCAAGTTAACATCTCGTAATTATGACTTTTTACTCAGAACTGGAAATTTATATCTCTCAATTATGAGTTTATATCTTGCAGAATTGTGAAAAAGTCCGAATTGTGAGCTATAAACTCAATTAAAAGGTCATAATTGTCAAATAAAGTCACAGTTATCTTTTTTTTTTATTCTTTGGTGGAAATAAGCTTCCATTAAGTTATTTTGATAAACATTATGAAGACAAACATTTTTTTTTATTTGGAATAACACGCACTGATAAATCATGCACAATAAGAGCAGTAGCATGTTTTAAGGAAGTAGAAAAGGTCCGTTTTGTTCTCATGTTGACTTTAATATTAAATAATGATGTTTTAATATGGACGTAGAATGTATGACAGAAAACCCATTGACTGATTGAAATGGCATGTGCCATAAAAGTCACATTTCTCCAGCCGTCTTTTAGATGTATGTTTTGTGTTCAACCAATGTGCTGCATTGTAAAATATGTCTTGTATATAATGTGTTTCTAAGTGCAATATTGTACATTGAGTGTAGAAAGTCTGGATTTTATTTTCTTACGTGGTTTAGTTTGTCTTTATAATCCATATTTAAGATTAAACACAACACAGACCTATGTACTTATAGCACTTGAAGTGAATTATTCATATCTCTAATATAATGGTTTCCTACTGGCCTTTATGCATGCATTTTTTTTAGTACATCAACAAATGTTGTACATAAGCCACTCACTGAATTTGTCCATGAATTTAATCCATTGCATTTTATTGGTTCAGTATGTGGAGGAAGCGCCGGTTTTGGTACTATTCACGTCAATATTGCAAACAGTCTATGTGATACAAATACAATAAATACAGTTTTACCAATCAGTTTATATCTCTTCATTATTATTGATCTTTTTTATTCTATATTGCGGTTAAAACAATCAATTATTGTGTAATGTTTAGAGCGTGTTTTATGTGTTAACTACACTGTCATTAAAACGGCTGCATTTATCTGATCAAAAATACAGTAAAAACTGTAATATTGTGGAATATTATTACAATTTAAAACAACTATTTTCTATTTGCATATATTTTAAAATGTAATTTATTCCTGTGATTTCAAAGCTGAATTTTCAGCATCATTCCTCCAGTCTTCAGTGACGCATGATCCTTCAGAAATCATTCTAATATGCTGATCTGCTGCTCGAGAAACATTTCTGATTATTATCAATGTTGAAAATGTCATGCGGCTTCATATTTTTTTGGAACAAAACATGGAACTACATTTTTTTTAAGACGCTTCAAAAGATCAGCTTTTTTTTTTAAATAGACATTCTTTGTAACATTAAGTCTATGCTGTCACTTTTGAATAATTTAATGTGTTCTTGCTGAAGAAAAGGTTTAATTTCATTTTCAAATTTTTAACAAACTTTTACATGGTAGTGTAGAAGTGATTTTGATTTTTAACTAATTAACTGGTATTGTCAAAGACTGATTTATTTGACAAATTATAGTACTTTCACTGCATATTTTATATCCTACATAACTGTACTGCAGTTTCATCCTAATGAACATTAAAAACTAGCTAAAATTTTAAACTATGCATAATCAATGTTTAATGAAATAGTTTAACCCA